CGGGGCTTGTGTAATTTTAAGCTAAGGTAAAACACACTTATTGTCATTTTTTCCCGCCAAATTTACCCACACGACAGAAAATTATTTAATTTAAAAAATATCCGACTAGCGACTCACTGGTTGCAAACTTATCTGAAATCTTGTTGAACTCAAGGATATTCGAAAGCTACAGTGGGCGACAAAAGTAGTTGAGACAGTTGAGCGCAAAGTGCAAGATTTCCCCTATTCCATTTCAAATTCAGGTTACATTGAGAACGGCACCCGCTCCCCGTTTTCAATGTTGTACAGGAAAGAACAACGAGTGAGTTTTGAAAAACTCAGTCGTGCAAATTAATTCCAAATTGAACTCGATACCGTATGATTATCTATACTAATTGCTCGTGAAATCTTTTTCCTAGCGAATTGCGTACAAAGTTCAGAGGTGTATGTGGACCTGACTTGATCTCGATTGTCGGAGTTGTAAATTAATAATATACATGAAAAATTACTCGATTCTGATTGGCCAAGAGCAGTGTAGTTCAAGAGTAACACCAGCGCAAAAAGTGTAACACCAGTGCAAATTACACATCGTAATTCTGGATTACGATTGGCTGAAAGGCAATAGGAACCTTTCTAAGCCAATGATACCACGTAAAATGATGACGAAAATTTTGCGAGGAAACTTCGAAAAAAGTTTTCTCGAATGAGGAAAAATGGCTTCAAGGACGATCTTCCGGCACTCCCTCCACGCGAATTTCTTCATTTTTACTTTATTAATAAGTAATCATACGGTTTTTCTCTTTCAATTTGGAATTAATTTGCACTAGTGAGTTTTTCAAAAAGCTCACTAGTTTCCTTCGAATGCTTTATTAAACGTGGAAGGTACAGTGGGCTAATAACTTGTGTGCTGGACTCTAGGCTTAGCAGTCTGGACGGGTTTCAGCCATGGCTGAGATCATTGCGTCACGTGTTTAGGCAAAACAGTTTCCTCTCAGTCTCACAGCGCCTTTCTTCATCCAGGTGTAAAAATAGGTACCAGAAATTTACAGGGCTAGCGCATCCAACTTTCGGTTGTGTCCTGGTGTACCGGTACGCAGAGGGAATAACCATTGTACTTCTTTCTTTACGAACCTTTGTTTAGCTGTTGAACATTGTTGGGTCTTTTGTATCGGTTCTTGTGAACCGGTACACGAGTTACACAATGTCTGCACTAACCATAGTGCAGACTTTAACTACAATTAGGCTGAATAGCCCTATTTATGGTTAGCACGAGGTCGAGAGTACAGATCGAACGAAGTGAGGTCTGTAAAAGACCTCCCATACAGACCGACTTAGCTCGGTTAATAAGATGTTTATTATATGGCACAGAAAAAAAATTTAATTCGTTTAATGTAACTGGTTTGTACTAGCTGACATTTTGCTTGTGAACGGCGATGAGCTTAACTTAAATCTGCCGAAATTTGCTCGTCCTCTCTACTTTTTTTTTTGTCCTCAGGCTTTTTGGCACTTCCATAAACGATTGAGAGGAAAGTAAAAGAAAATGGTGAATGTTTTTGTATTTCAGTTTGCTACTTTTTCAATGCAAAATGAAACTGGTCTAGATGCCGGTCTAGATGGGAAAATCTAGACCACGGTCAATATTGATTTCAGCCAATCAAATTCGTGAATTTGGTAGTTCCCAGTCCTTGTGAGACACAGCCATATAATAAAAGATAATACAAACAAAGCAACATAATAATGTACTTAAAAAGTCTCTAGTCTGCAGTCTGCATTTTACTACTGGTCTGCAGCCTGCATTTTAACCCTGGTCTGATATCTGCAGTCTGCTGTCTGCATTTTAAATCAACTGATACCATAATCTCAAAGTAAGTTATTCATAGCCAGCTCATTACGGAGTCAAAACTGAATTTACTAAATGTGAAACAACAACAAAGACAACATTCATTATCATTCCACATCAGTGCTACGATTTGTTTATTTAAATAGTTTGTGGCACTTTATTAACCACAGCTAGTTGTTGTTGTTGTGAGAACATACACCAATACAATTGTCAGAGAAAAGTGGTATTTTACTTACCACTATTATACTGTAACAGGACCTGAACAAGTGATGAAATCGCTCATCGGAAATCCAATCGCTCAATTGATTTTAATGCATATTACATGTAGTTAATTGTTATCGATTAATATCGGCCAATTGATGAACAATCAATAATCACATGAAAGTAATTTGTGTTTATCAATTAACATCGGAGAGAAAATTTCCCTCCATAAAATACCTTAATTGCTTTCAGCTAGTGTGTCAGGAGAGTGATCACTCGCTGGTAAGACGTGCACTTTTATATGTGAATACCATTCCCTGTCAAAAGTCTGAGCTGACTTCCAATACACATGCTTGAAGTCCACTTAAAATGAGGTTTCTAGAGTATTTCTTTTTTTTATTTTCTCTAGCAGACTCCTGAGAAATCAAGCATCAGTCACTTAGCCACTAAAGCACGCAGTACACATTTTGTGTTGCCCTTGTTAGCACGATCGATCGCAAATGTAATAGAGACTCATATACTGTATAACGTTCATGATTCTTCTTTATTTTAGTGTTCATGACTCTACTTTATTTTTTTATTTTTGCTATCTAATTGATCGATTTCAAACAATTCTCAATGATTATTGATAGTCGATGAGAATCAAAAATCACAGAAACTTTTGGATTTGATTGTTCATCGATTAGTAATAGCACCGGTAATTGGACCGAGTGGAATACAATTCAGGGAGTAATCGTACGAGTGATTTCAAAATCAGACGAGCATGAAGCGTCAGGTTGATTTGAAAACACAAGCACAATTATTACTCCCCGATCTGTACGACACTAGGTCCAATTACTAATTACTCGTATCAATAAAAATTTCGGAATTAAAAATGTCTCCTGGGAAGTTCTTTTGAGGGAAAACATCTGTACCGCTTTTCATAAGTTTTAAAAACTGTAGGAAACATTGCGAATGAAGCCGTTAAAGCACGCATAATAATTATTGACGTGAAAATAATGTGGGTATCCAATTATAGGTGTCCAGTTACAAAAAGTTTAAATTGGACACCTGTTATTGGACACCCACGTGATCGCGTGCCGATTATATGGCAAATAGGCACGCGGAGAACCAAGCACAATAGAGAATTCTGTTGTAGATAAGATTATAAATATCAATCGATTAATTGTTATCTATTGTCATCGATTGTTATCAATTTTCATCGATTGTTCAGATCCTGACTGTATACAGTGGTAATTGTTGAAAATGCAACGTGACAAATCAGTAGAAGTGATTAAAAACATTTAATCAATGTATTTAACAGGCAATACGAAGGACGCTCGATGATCGTACTTCTGTGGTTTTCAAGACGTCTAGTTTTACTCACTGAAATCGGTTCTTTCCTCGTGTACCGGTTCACAAGGAACCGATACAAAAGCCCCAACAATGTTCAACAGCTAAAAAAAGCTTCGTTAAGAAAGGAGTGCAATGGATATTCCCTCTGTGTACCGGTATACCAGGACACAACCCTGAAATCGAAGAAAATTTACAGAATGCGCCACCTTACAAGTTCACGAACTGCTGTTTACCGTATTCTACATTGCAAAACACAGACATAATTTCACTTCTCATTCTTTTTCATAATCTATGGTTTAGCTAGACATGAGAAGTGCATTCTTAAAACCAGCAACAACGACTTCGACAACAAATCTCACAGAGGCCGCCATATTTACAGTGATTACGCTCGAGCCCAGACTCTCGACGAACAGAGGATTGGATCGAAGTTATGCCCAGGGTAAGTGACAGCTCCTTAAGTCGCGTGATTCAAGCGTGACACAGCAAGCAAAGCAAGTTGTACGCTTCTTGTTGCAAATCCAACGTTGGGAAAGCTAATATTTACCGTTTCAAAGTCAGCCAAAGGTAATTAAAATATATATGTCAATTTCCAAGTTCATATTTAGAAAGACGTTGTAATATTTCGCTGGCTGTGTTTGGTGGTTTCACTTTTATATTCACAATAGCGTTGATTGTGAATATATTCATTTGAGAGTTTTAATTACGATGAAAACATGATTTGATTTGACAGAAACACGAGCGGAAGTTTGGGAGAACGAGAAATGTTGTAGGAACACGAGCCGACAGATAGAAACACAGAGAATTAACATGTTTTCTATTTCTAGAAAATTTCAAAAAGAGAACAATTTCTGTACGTTGATCGTCAAAACGTTTATTCTCTTTGCTCGCTTTGTTCAAGCTGTTATGTGTTTCTATCGAGTTTATTGAAACACGATTTTAAACTAATCAGTGCGTGTATTTTCTTTGGGCAATTTATCTAAAGCACATAAGAGTTTAAGATAAATTGATTTGATTTTATTACACTTGCAGAACGTAACATGTCGATCAAAGTCGATCATCGAAAACGTAGTCGATAAGTCGATAGTACTCGATATTTGTCGATCAGTAATTGTCAATCGACAAGTTTAATTTGTGGATAAAAGTCGATAATCACAAGATTTTCAACTGATTCTCGATTTTATCGACAAAAATGCAGACACATTTTTCAATCGGCCACGAAATTATAGAAGTGTTAACAGCTCTAAAGTAAATCCGTATGGCAATAGAGTTGAATAAAAAACTGAACAACCCAGTGGTCAAAATCGATCAAAGTCGATCAAAGTCGATAATCACAAGAAATCGTGTGATAGACTTTTATCAACATCCGATATTTGTCGATTGATTAGTATCGAATTCGATTGAAAACGATCGATTTTTATCGACTATCGCAATTATCGACGTGTTACGTCCTGCACTTGTAAGGGATAACAAGGATAAGAGAGTTAACTTGCTAATTTAACATAATAATTTGTGCCATTCGGTCAGTTGAAACATTAGATGTCTAATGGTTGTTTTCTTTCTTTCAATCAATTAGCATGAGCCAAGAATCTCGTATTGGTTTTGTAGTGTTTGGCTTGGGTCGAGCAGGTCACATCCATGCCACAAACCTCATTAGAGACCCGCAAGTGAGCCTGAAATGGATTGTGGACGTTGATGAAGCCAAAGCAAAGGATTTCGTGACAGAAAATTTCTCAGATGCAAAAGTTGTCACGCCATCGGACATGGAGAAGGTGTTGCGTGATCCAAGTGTCAGTGCCGCAGTCGTAACCACTCCAACTCATCTTCATGAAGAGATTGTTATGCGCTGTTTACAGGCAGGAAAAGCTGTGTTATGCGAGAAGCCGGTTGCTGATAGCCTGGAAGCTGTAGGTGAGAATTTCCTAGAGACATTTTATTACCTGGGATAGTCAATCGATAAAATTTATAATCAATAACATTCATTAACATTCATTGAATTGAAATTAGTCAACAATATCAGAAATAAATACAAATTGATGAAAGGATTCGTTGTGACTGATTGTTATTGATTTTTCAACTATTGTGATCAATTTTTTTTTTTATAAATATTGAATTTATCAATGCTACTAGTAACTTATCTAACAATTTACCAAAAACAAATAAACCAAAGATCAAACATGAAATCATAAATAAAATTTGCCTTAAAACGTAATGTGGTCTCTCCTAAATTGCTTCTCAACATAATATTTTTACAGGCATAAGGTGTCTATGAGTCTTCACTGGTGCCTTTGAAAATATACATTTAAATAGTCATGATCAAACACTGCGTCAATGGATACAGTTTTTATAAGTGTAAGCTGATGAAGAAAGATTTAATTTGAACTGATTCCCTACGATGGTTAAACCTGATAAAATTGATAACTTGAAACTTCACCAGCATATGAGTATAGATTTCTATAGATTGATCGATAGCATCGATAACACTTAATTTCAGTTTCTCAATTGATATCCATTTATTGAATAATTTCCCAATATTGATTTTTTTTTAATTAATTGACTATCCTGCAGGAACTGTGGAGCAGGAGGGGCTGTTAGGGCTACAGTGAGGAGGCTGGTAGGCTATGGCCCTACCCCTTTTTGCTTTTTTTTTTGGGGGGGGGGGGGNTTTTTTTTTGGGGGGGGGGGGGCTCCAGATGACTTGGAAAATGTATGAATTTTACCATTTGAAAGTAACAAAATTGGAGAACAGTGACCCCTTCTACTTGTTTTTCTTGGCCAGATTTTTTTAGCAGTCCCTGCCCCGGGTTGATTACTTAGGCCCATGAACTGCAGTGTCACTTCACACCACAGTTTCCTGGATGGTTCCTGTGCAATGTATTATATTGATTTTTGTGGTAAGAGTTTAATGGACAGGTCTTTTAAGGCTCAACACTTTTATATTAATTTAAACACTAAAAAGCTCATCACTTTCAAATAAAGTGAAACAGAGCATTAATGGTTTACAATACAGTAGGTTCAAGGTCAAATTAATTACAATGGAATTACAGTGGAAGCTTGATGTAATGAAGGGTCAAGAAAGTAGCAAACCATGTTATTTTGCTACAATGAGGTTTTTTTATATCAAGGTTCTTTTTCTTAATTATTTTACTATTACTGGAGCAAAGAATATTGTTCCTTATAGGAATCATTCTTTATAATAAAATTAATTATAGAGGTCTGTTTAATCAGGAATCCACTGTAATAAGAAATCTCAAACAAAAGGCACGAGTGATTCTGATTGACTGATTCTAATTCACTGACCCACTGACCGACCAACCGACCTGATGCCTGCCTGACTTACTAATCGATTGATTTACTAATTGATTGTATATTGACTGTCTGACTGACACTCGAATTGATGGATTGATTGACTGTCTGGTTTTTGATTTGTTAATTGAATGATTCAATGGTTGATTGATTTATTGATTCATATTGATTCACTGATTCATTGACTGATTGACTGATTTACTGAATTAATGAATTAATTTGTGATTGTCGATAGGTAATGAGTTGACTGATCGATTGTCCGACTGAAAATATTTGGGATTGTTGATGGCTAATATTTGACTGATGGGTTGATTGACAGACTGACTGACTGACTGATTGATTGATTGATTGATTGATTGACTGATTGTCAGAGCGTTGCTACAAGGTGGCCGAGAGCCACAATATTCCATTACTGTGTGCCTTCAATCGACGATTTGACCCAACCNTTGACTGTCTGACTGACACTCGAATTGATGGATTGATTGACTGTCTGGTTTTTGATTTGTTAATTGAATGATTCAATGGTTGATTGATTTATTGATTCATATTGATTCACTGATTCATTGGCTGATTGACTAATTTATTGAATTAATGAATTAATTTGTAATTGTTGATAGTTAATGAGTTGACAAATTGATCGTCCAACTGACTGAAAATATTTGGGATTGTTGATGGCTAATATTTGACTGATGGGTTGATTGACTGACTGACTGACTGACTGACTGATTGATTGATTGATTGATTGATTGATTGACTGATTATCAGAGCATTGCTACAAGGTGGCCGAGAGCCACAATATTCCATTACTGTGTGCCTTCAATCGACGATTTGACCCAACCATCCACTTCATGTATGACAAAGTCAAAAACAAGGGCATTGGCAAAGTTCAAGTGATCAAGACAACAAGTCGCGACTCTCCCCTGCCAAGCATGGATTACCTAAAGATATCTGGGGGGATATTTCATGACTGCTGTGTACATGATGTAGATTTGATCTGTTGGATTATGGGTGAAGCTCCTCACACTGTGTTCTGTCTCGCCAATGCCTTCCATTCGGAAATTGGAGCGCTTAATGATGTGGACACGGTTGGCGTCGTCATGAAGTTTCCAAGTGGTGCCATTGGCCAAATAGATCTGTCACGTCATTCTGTGTACGGTTACGACCAACGTGTCGAAGTGTTTGGGGCGAATGGAATGCTTACAAGCGATAACAGTTCAGCTCTCACCATTACACACTCCCATACTGCTGGAAGTTCACTTCAACCCATCAAGTTCTCGTTTCCCCAACGATATGCTGAGGCTTACAGTCTAGAAATGCACCATTTTATCAATGTAATAAGAAAGAAAGAAAACTTGCTGGTGTCTAAAGATGATGTGCTTCGATCCTTTAATATTGTGGAAGCCATTGCGAAATCACACCAAACAGGAAAACCGGTTGCCTTATGAGAATACTGAGTAATTTGAAATGGTCATCTAATGAATTGGATGAAGTTGCTCCAGTGCAGTGCTTTCAGTTAGATTTGAAGTAGTTGTCTCCCTTTTGTTAGCGCGCCCGCAGCTGATAAAAGGAGCTGAATGCCCCTTGTCCTCTAGGGGGATATGGGAGCATGCCCCCCCCCCCAGAAAATTTTTGAAATTGGGAAGCTCAGAAAGACAATTTCCAGCGATTTGAGGTAAAATATTAACACTCAAGCACTCATTATTTTTCATAGTTCAAGGCAGTCTCGTGTATATTATACACTATTTTCAGTTGTGTCTATATTACTGAGATAAAGGTATGCCTTTTACTAAAAGCTGATAGAATGTTACATGTCACACTGTCTGTTTGTTAGAGGACTCAAGAAATACTACCGTTAAAACCTTATGTGGTTGCTTTCATGTTCATGCAAAAGGACTAAGTGTCCTCAGCTTTTTCAATGTATACTTCTAACGTTTTTATTAGCTTTCCAATAATAACTAACTATTTAATAGGCTGAATTGCTAGTTCCTTTTTATATGACTCCATCAGCACATTAATGCAGGAATACAGCCGGCGATTTGCAAGAGAGTACCTACAGAGCTCTGACGGGAGCCAGGTCTTACTGAAAGCACTGCCAGTGCCATAAACATATATACATGTAGCAGTGAATGGAAAATCAGTTGATATTTAAAGCAATTGTCTTCTGCAATTTACAGCTTTAAGTGACAAGCTTTATTGGTAATTATTGATTCTTCCAGCATAGTTCAGATAATTAATTTTTATCACCTTATTATTAGCGCAAACTGTTTTTCTTAAGCCCTTGTAGTTATTTAGGGTAGCCAGTACTCTTTTCAATTTACTTAATTATTTGTTCAACAATTTTTACATTAAGGATTGCTGAATTTTGATCATAAGGATCCTTTTCTTTACTCAGGTGTTTAAATGGGTACTGGTGATCTGGGGGTATAACTATGCAATGGACTAGTGTCCCATCTAGGGGGGAGTAGAAATACTCCTACATGTACTTGCTTCTTGCTACTGAAACCAGGATAAGCATCTGCTTGATAGGCCACTTGGCTCATACATGTACACTGATAGTTAAAGGAGCTCAGTCACAGTTTGCACATATTGAAAAGTTTAGCCTCAGTTTTTCAAATTCCTTGTTTGTAATCCGTGTTAATCTTCTCCATCCTTAGCCATCCTTGTTCCTTTATGGTTTATCATTATCTCTTTGGTGTTTTTCTATCTTGTTAAACTGTTATTTTCAGGTTTCCTACCATTTAAGGTTATTCCCCTGAAATAAAACTGCCAATAGATTTTTGTTCAAACTTTGTCCACTGAATATTTATCGTATGAGAACTTTAATTATAAAATAAAAAAGGGGGCTGCCCATGCTCGTCAAGGAGCAGTGAGACAGTAAAAATGTCCCATTTTAGCATTATTTAATGCTTATTACAAGAACGCATTCCAAGTTATTGTAAAATCTTT